ATAGACTGAAAGTGCAGCACTATGCTCTTTTCTTCCTCCTGGAATCTGTTTTGAACACTCGTTACTTTTATTCCACGCTTTCTGAAATCCTTCACTGTTGTTTAGTTCTTGTTTTAACACGTCTGACTCGATGAACTTCTTCATGGCCTCATCACGGCATCCATTGTACTGGTCATCCACAACATCTGTGGTCTTTTGGACATCCAGTACTCTTGTATCCTGTGCGGTCACCTTTAATTGAGGTGTATCACATTAAAAACTCATTATTTAGTGAAAAAATTTGTTCGTATGAAACACATTTCTTACTTTGTAGCAGACAGCTCTGAAAATTATTGTAGCAAGAAGCATTTTTCTTCTGTACTCCATTTTTTATCCACTTCTTTTTCTAGAGACTAAAAGAAAGCATTGCAGGATCAAATGTGGGTAGAAAAGAGTTCTTCAACACTTTTCACAGTCAACTTGGATTTGGAAAGATGTAAATAATCTAATATTTGTTTGGTTTTCTTGGAATATGTCAATTTAAAAATTTAAATGTGGAAAAGACAGAAAATCACATACCTGGAGCAAGAAAAAAAAAAAACTTGTCTTAACAACTCACAGAAAAGAGTCTATCCAGTTTCTGAGCAGCAATGAGCACAACACGCTCTGGGGAGTAAAATAAGTTATCCTACAATGCAGCTCTACAGTTTTTCCTGTAGAAGATTGTAACTTGTCACTGTGGGAAATGGTGTCCCCTTATTGGTTCTGCCTCAGCTACTGAGTTCCTGTAAGCTCCTTTTTTTGGCATAACTGATAAAGCCAAGTCCCACAGTACTTCTTCAATGTAGACTTTTTCTAAAATTAAAAAAAAAAAAAACCTCAGGCAGTTCCATGCCCACTTTTAAATTTTGTACTTTTTCCCAAAGAAAGGAGTTAACTACAAAATTGCATTTGTTACTGTTTGCTAAAGCTAAAGCTCAGGTCGGCAGAGCACTTTGACAGCACTTTTTATTACTAAACTCTACAATTTGGGCTACTATTAGGTGGATTCACGCAATGTCAGGTTTAGAAGACAGTCAGTGAATGGTAATTTTGTTGAATAATAGTATTAGTAATGATGAAAAGAAGATGATAACTAAATTAAAACTAATTCACGAGGACAAAAACTATGATGAAATGTAATGACACTTAAAAATTAGATAAAATTGTTCTGGAGAGATAAGATCCCATTATAACTAATGAAGTTGTGTAGAAAGGCAGGACGAGTTTGGAAGTCCTTGTGTAGTAAAGTTAGACAAAAACATTTTGATCCACCCAGGGTGGGGAGGCAGGTTCAGCTGACTAAACCTACTGTAATCTTATGATATTTAGTAAACTAAAATTAGACTAAAGCTTAAAAAAAAAAAAGCATTTCCTATAGCTATAATAAAACAAAGTTACAAAGTAAAGTGATTTCAGGATTGGTGGTCCAGACATGACTTCAATTCAGATGTTTAAAGTTGTGAATAAGCTAACAAAGACATGTTTGGTGTACTCGATTTAACATGCCTCTAGAGCTTTTAAAAAGGTCCCAACAAGTGATGAGAGAGAGAGAGAGAGAGAGAGAGGCTTTTGTATCGCTAATGTGTAACTTAATTATAAGTGATACATTTAGGCAGTAATTACTGCCCTGCTACAAACCTGTTGGACTTTGTAAACGTAACACAAGGAAAAACAAATGTATTTGTCTATTTGTGTGATCAGATTATATTAATTGCGAAGCTATTTCAATTTTCCATGTTGTTTATTTGACAGGGAAACAGAAAATCCTGTTGTCTTTAGAAGCAGGAACATTTGCTGCAAATTATTCCCATCTCTCATTTCTTATCATCCTTTTAAAGGCGCACAATACTTGACAAGAAATAAAAGTTTGCAGTATATTTTTCTAACATGCATAAAAAAAGATGTAAATTGAGTCTATAATTCATAACATACGATAGAAGCAAAAAACAAAATTGCACAATACTTTGGCAGCCTGTTGTAACACCGTATTTGGCACATACCACAATTTGGCAAATAAAGTGCGAAACAATTAATTATATGAATAATCAAAGTAGAATTGTAAATAATAACACTCGATCGCAGTTGGTGTATTTCTAGTTAGTGTTGACTGCAGCTGCACGTGAGCCTGAAATTTGAAACCTGAACTTTATTTTGCACTCCTTTAAAAGCTTTATCAAATATTCTGAAGTAATGAAGTCTATAATTCATAGCATAAGCACAGAAGCAGAAAATTACTCCTAAGACAAAGTTATTCATCACAATCTGTCAGATAACGTCCCAAATAATTGTAAGTAAGTAAGTGAAAGTTTATTTATATAACGCTTTTCCCAGATAAAAATCACAAGGTGCTCCACAATACAAAGCATGAAAATACAACATATAACAATGCAAAACAATACATACAACATAAAAACAAACTAATTGAAAGCTTGTCTATATAAAAATGTCTCCAACTGCTTTTTAAAAGAATCAGTGGGGTCAGTAACAGAGTAAAAACAGTGGAAGAGAATTCCACAACTGTGGTGCTACTGCCTGAAAAGCCCGATCACCACGAGTTTTAAATCGAGTGCGTGGGGCCACCGGCAGTCTCTGACCTGATGACCTTAGAGATCGGGAATCGGAATGTGGTTTCAGCAGGTCAAATATGTACTGGGACGCTTGAACATGTAGGGCCCTAAAGGTTAGAACTAAATTTTTTAAAAGAAATGTAAACTTTACAGGCAAGCAGTGAAGGGAGGCTAAAACTGGAGTAATATGAGATCTTTTGTTGGTGCCTGTTAAGAGTCTTGCTGCAGCATTCTTCAGTCTGAGGACGATTTAAAGCTGATTTCTTAAAACAAGTAAAAAGACCACTGCAATAATCCAAATGGAAAGAAAAAAAAAGCATGAATAATCATCTCAAGTTCAGCCTTTGACACCATTAGTCTGAGTTTTGAAACATTCCTTGGATGATAAAAACAGTTCTGGACCAGCTGTTTGGAATGTTGCTCAAGGGAAATGGAGCTGTCAAATATGGCACCAAGGTTTCTAAGGCTCAATTTATCAGAAGGCTCTAAGAAGCTGATATGCTCCCTAATTTCTGAAATCATATGGTCTGGAGCAATAATTAAAGTTTGTTTTATCACAGTTTAGCCGGAGGAAGTTGTCGTTTAACCATTGCTTGATTTCTGTCAGGCATTTACTTAAACTAGACAATTTATAAAGCTCAGAGACTTTAAAAGAACAGCATAACTGAATGTAATCTGCGTAGAGATGATAGGACATATTATTGCAGCCCCCATTTAATTTGGCCTAGGTGGAATAGATATAAAGCAAAAAGAGAATTGGACCCAGGACAGATCCCTGAGGCACCCCACAAGACAAAACTGTTGATTTGGATGTCACTTGATTCATACAAACAGTGAAAGATCTTTCAGATAAGTATGACGTGAATCATTTTGACATTGTATGAATAATTGCAGCAATATTATAGATGATAAAACCCAGAAAACTCTGAATGATAACTGTTTTTGCTAAACAGCTAAAAAACAAAACAAAGATAAGGTCAAAAGCACTGATACAAGCCACAGGGTGGAGACAACAGCCGGAGGAGACCTAAGGACATGGAAACAAAGCAGAGAGGGGAATTATTGTAATATTGGACTGATTCTTATATAGCGCTTTTCTACTCTCACGGAGTACTCAAAGCGCTCTATACAACATGCCTCA